AATGTGAGAAGGAAGATGTGTCAGCTTCTGACCAAGCTTTTCTTCTCTCCTTATGGTCAACAGAGGCCTCCATCAAGTGGCTGGGCTTCGTTAACCATGGGGTCACGCTTTGGCCTCTGTGGCATTTTTGCTTCACAGGTTTGAGTGTTATGATTCACCTGGAGGAAAGAACTGTTAGGAGATTCCAGCCCGGACAAGTGAATTAGTCATAACAGTCAAGAGGGCACTGCCCAGTTTGAAAGGGAAAAACAGAGCCAAATAGTTCCCTATCTTGAAAGGCAAGCAAAATAGTGTTCATGTTCCAGGAATGTAGTTTATGATTAGAGATAGCCCTATCTGAGCTGTGGTGGGTGTCAGAATATCCGAGAATGCGGAGGAGAGGAAGAAAGGAGGTTGGGATTGCCCGTCCTGTGAAGTGTCCCCCAGAGTAAACAGCCTTTGCCATAGCAACAACCTAATGCCACAGATCAGAGGAATGCGGTCCTCCAGCAAGCAGACCGAGGCTTGGCAAAGTCTCCCAGATGATGCAAAATATTTAGAAGGGAAGTGGTAAAACAAACAGAAAGGAAGCACAGCCATGCGGCTGTAGTTCGTAGGCAAAAATAAGTCACACACACGAAACAGTGCAGTGTAGCTACAACAGCGTTTTTGTGTCCCCGGGTACTGAATGTCCATCTCTTTGCTAGAAACAGCCTGAGGGGTTACTGCTCCCCCTTCAAGACTGTCTTTGTAAATAGTGGGTAGTGGCATCCTTTAAAAAAAAATCAATTGAAAGACTTCTTTAAGGACTTTGTACAGACCATTTTCTTTGCTACAAAATCTATTCTGAAGCTGTATTATTTAACAAAGGGTCTGTGTTCTGAGTCATCCGGAAATTTTTTAGCCAATTTTTTTTTCTTACTGCTAGGTTGCTGTCACGAGCAGAGAATGGTCATCTGTAATAACCCAAGGGAGTGACTAGAACATGCCCAGCCACGTGCAAAAGAAAAGTAATAGACCAGTGTCTAAGTGCCAGAAATGAGCCAGTCCCCTATGCAGGATTGGCTACACAACCAGATTTGCTAAGACAGTCTCAGCTCAGCCCTGCTGTTCAGGTTCAATTACAGAAGAGGTGACGGCTCACAAAGGTGTTCTGTTTGGGATAATAAATACTCTGACGGCCCGATTCGTGTTCATGCTCAGAGCCCATCCCCTAGGAACACCATTCTGAAGTTCTTCAAGCCTTAGAGCCTGAATACAACACATAAAAATTAATTTAAAAGGAACGGAGCGATGACGCAGTCAGTGACGTGTTTGCTGTGCGAGCAGAGGACCTGAGCTCAGATTCCCAGTCCCGCGGAAAACTCCGGTGCAGTAGCTCATGCCTGGAACTGCAGCCCTGGGGATGTGGAAGCAGGAAAATCCAGGTGGCTCTTTGTTCAGCCCGTCTAGCCAAATGGTTAGCTCCAGATTCAGGGGCAGACTTGTCTAAAAGATAAGTTGGGAGAGGAAGAAAGAGGATATCTGATGTCAACCTTTGACCTCCACTCAGGCACATGTTCACATGCGTACACATACACACAAATAATATACAATAATAAAATTTAAAAAGAGAAGTGGTCATTTTCCCATCCTGATAAGAAGAACCTTCAATAGTTTAACTTCATCTACTATAAACACAGGAAACAGGAGCCTCTTGGCTGGTACTTGGGCGAAGAGGGAGACTGCCTGTTCACAGCACCCTGCGCCTGCTTTCAGAAGGAGCTCGGAGTGTCCCAGGAGGCTGTCTGCAGAAGTCCAGACATCCATTTCTCCTTCAGGGGCAGGGAGGCAGGCAGTCATTTCCAAAGCCCACACACAGGCTGCCGCTTTTTCTGCCTCGCAGCCTAGAAAGGATCCCTGAGATGTTCGCAATGAGAGAGGATTCAGGGATTGGTGCAGCCCCCAGCTGCACGGCTCGGAGGAGGCTGCTATTTGAATTAGAATGGAAACTCTTTGATCTCTTTTATATCTAAGTTTAACCATGGCCTAGACCCAGAAGGTAGACTAATTTTGGCGACTTCCACCCCCCCCTCCCCGGCCCCGTACACTTTTATCTAGAGATAAAAGCAAGGTTTGGAAGCATAAACAGAAGGTGTATTTCCCTGGACCCAGCAGCCGGCATATCAAACAAATAGCTCTACAGATGCCTGCCGGTGCTCAGTCTAGCTCTGGCTTCTTCAGCTCTGCTTCCGCTTTCCCTGGCAGCCAATAGGATCATTTCCTTCTGTCTTAACCGTCAAGATGGTTCAACATTAAAGAAATCATAAAGGAACCAGTGTCTTGCAGCAAAATAGTGACTTCCATTTTCACACTAAATTTAAAGAGTGGGAGACAGAGAGAGATGGGTCGGTGTTTAAGAGCACTGGCTGCTTTTCAAAGGACCTAGATATTCAGTTCTCAGCCCCCACGTGACAGCTCCAGCTTACAGTTGTGTGCAACCCTACTTGCAAGGATGGGGCATTTTCTTCTGGTCTCCGAGGGCACTCCATACATGCAGTGCACTTATATGCTTGTAGGCAAAATATTCATGGGCAAAAAGTAAAAATAAATATTTTTAAAAATTAAGAGAAAACCATGTTTTTTTTTTTTTTAAGTTACAAAGTTAACTTGGGTGGGTTCTGTCAATATCTGGTTGATGGTGAAGCCTTCTAACAGGTGTTTTTCTAACCTGTGCCTCAAGGGATCAATCAGGCTTTAAATGGTGATGGCCAGCTTGCTAATCCCAGGAGGAACAGTGGAATATGGGCCCCCACCTTGGAGCCACAGAGAGGAGTCACAGCTCATATACCAACAGCCTTTCTATCATGTGCACTTATCATTACAGGACTACTTGAGAAGCTCACGAGTCCGAGAGGGTTTCATGCAGCCCATTTACGTGCATAGAGCAATAGTCCCCACAAATAGAACATCCCATGACATAGGTTTTAGTTATTTAGCTGCGTTGTGTTCTTACCCTGCAAGGAAACGTCACAAAACACGACAGAATCCGCTTATAAGAGTTTATTAGAGCTTTCTGCCTGTTGACGCGCCCGGGGAAGCATCGCCGAAGGCTCTCGTTGCCCTGCCGCCATGTCCAAGTCCGAGTCTCCCAAAGAGCCCGAACAGCTGCGGAAGCTCTTCATTGGAGGGCTGAGCTTCGAAACGACCGACGAGAGCCTGAGGAGCCATTTTGAGCAATGGGGAACACTCACGGACTGCGTGGTAATGAGAGATCCAAACACCAAGCGATCCAGGGGCTTTGGGTTTGTCACATACGCCACTGTGGAGGAAGTGGATGCCGCTATGAATGCAAGACCACACAAGGTGGATGGAAGAGTTGTGGAACCTAAGAGAGCCGTGTCGAGAGAAGTGAGTGGTTTTTATTAATAGTTGGGTTCTTGTTTGGAGACTGTATTAATCCAGGCAGACCTCAAAGCAGAGAGATTAGATTCCCCTCCCTCTAGAGTGCTGGGATTAAAGGCGTGGGCCGCCACAGCTGCCTATCATTTGGAAGGGTGCTGCTGGTAATGACATAAGACATTGGAGTGTTCTAAATGACTGAAGTGGTTTTTCCTCTTAGGATTCTCAGAGACCGGGTGCCCACTTAACTGTGAAAAAGATCTTTGTTGGCGGTATTAAAGAAGACACTGAAGAACATCACCTGCGAGATTATTTTGAGCAGTATGGAAAGATCGAAGTGATTGAGATCATGACTGACAGAGGCAGTGGAAAAAAGAGAGGGTTTGCTTTTGTCACTTTTGATGACCACGACTCGGTGGACAAGATTGTTATTCAGAAATACCATACTGTGAACGGCCACAACTGTGAAGTCAGAAAAGCCCTGTCAAAGCAGGAGATGGCTAGTGCTTCATCCAGCCAAAGAGGTCGAAGTGGTTCCGGAAACTTTGGTGGTGGCCGTGGAGGCGGTTTTGGTGGCAATGACAATTTTGGTCGAGGGGGGAACTTCAGTGGTCGTGGTGGCTTCGGTGGCAGCCGTGGTGGTGGTGGATATGGTGGCAGTGGGGATGGCTATAATGGATTTGGTAATGATGGAAGCAATTTTGGAGGTGGTGGAAGCTACAATGATTTTGGCAATTATAACAATCAGTCTTCAAATTTTGGACCAATGAAGGGAGGAAACTTTGGAGGCAGAAGTTCTGGCCCTTATGGTGGTGGTGGCCAGTA